CAGAACTCCTATCTAAATAAAGTCCTAAGTATCTGCCAAAACAGTAGTCTCTCCTGTTTGTACATAGTGAACAGCGGACTCCAGCATTTTACAAAAATATATTACACTCAGTTATTGGAAGACCTTTGTATATTTCATCTTGTAAAATCAATAAAGCCTTGATTTTGTACATATATCATATATCACAGATACAGCACGGGCATTTTGTACATATATCATAGTATGCTAAAGTTGACTACTTTATATATTATCCTTGCACTAATTCTACAAATGCTTCATGCTAAATCTGGACAAAACGTGTTAAAGTTTTGAGTTTACTCTGAAGAATACCTCTAGGATACTGTTAGTATACCAGTTATATATGACTTGTTCATTCTCATATGCTACCAAATTTGTGCTTATCAATCAAAAATCCAGTGTTATATGTTTACAGACTACTAACTGGCTGGCTACTGACTGGCATCTTCATAATGTTTATGGTGAATGGTACTGTATGTGTTCCAGGTAGTTTATTCCTAATCTATATAAGAGGAAAACGCTTTCTTACCCTTGCACAGGGTCTCTGCATTTTGTTCAGATTAAACATATAATTGTCAAAAAACAAGTAAAAAATGTTTAACAAAGGGGAAAATGTTGCTACTATGGTACTATATGACACTATACTGCCAAATGTGGTCATGTCATGTAAGGACTTGCCTGTAGTTTCTGCTCGTAAGTCTTGATTTGATAGAATTGTAGCTCTCTGGCTTCTTTTTTTCCACTAATGAGAACATTCCCTTCACAAAACATAAATATATGAAGTTTTGTTTACACAACTGATTAAGGACTTTTGTCCAAAAAGCACTGTTTCTCTGTAAACTTTGGGCTGCATTCAGAGAAACCCTCTTTATTTCAAATGATACATCAATATTTCCATGGTGAATGTTGTCCATATTCATATTATGCAGGTGATATTCTGGGCAGCCCATTGAGATTAAAATCATTAGAATCACCTGCATGTAGTTCATGCCTCTGTGGTTGCCAGATTTTTTCCTGAGTGGAGTGTCTGAGATATTTTTTCAAAAGTGCTGAGAAGCTTCTAAATACAGTATACTATGTATTTAATATTTTCCTTGGATGGCATTATTTATTTTGGAGTTTATTTATAACCATGAGCATAAATTTCATGGTGAGAGATTGTCGTTATATATAAAACTGCCAGACAGTGGTGCTGGAAGTATTTAATTAATTAACTGCTTCTCACTCGTGCCTCAATTCAGAATTGTGCATAACTGAGACATAGCTCTGTTGACAAACTCCACCCTGAACACTAGGCTTGTGTGATATAACTATTTTAACGTCTCTACCCAATATTACACTGTCAGGATATCCAGTGATGTTTCTGTCAGGCTGTACAGCTGATAATATTATTACGCCCTCTTGTACTCTCCCTAAACCTGAAATGGTGAAAATGCTTTTTTCCTGTCTTTTTTAGGCTATCGGTTCTGGATAATTAAATAGCCTATTGCAATTTTTTTAAATGGTTAATTGCAAGCAGGGAAAAATCTATATTGCACAAGCTTACCACACACACACAACTCCTGTGCAGCTGTCCATGTAGCATGTCAGTCTATAGTTGCGTCTATGGTTCAAATACTGTTGTGCACAAACCCTGAATATGACCCAGTACTTGGTCATGGATGTTTTTCTGTGAATTTCTGAACACATGGCATCAAAGCTGAATTTCATGTCAAGATCCTACTGATGTACTTAAAAGCTTTAGATGTGGTATTTCAAGCCAAGACATCTGAGATTTGCTCTCCCCTTGAACTCAAACAAAAAGCCTCTTGATTGTGAAGATACAGACTGCTATATCCAAAAACATGCGACAAGAGCCAAGGTTTTCATTCACAAATGTTTTATCAACAGAATGCACACTTATGTCCCTACAATATTTTATGTTAATTTCCTCCTTTGGACAGTTATTTGATGACATTTACTGTATTTAATTGTGTATCATGCAGCTGAGGCCATTATTGTCATCGAAATACTTATCATAAAATGCGTGTTCTGTTCAAATGCCAATCCAGCTTGAATTAATGGCTTAGTTGGTCCATATTGACTTGACTGAAATAACCTACAAAATGATAGTAAACCGTATTAATGGTTTGAGTACTCTAAATTTTTAGCAAGGCATTTTTTTTTAGCAAAGTATAAATGTAGGGTCACTTGATGAAAGATTAAAGACAATATAGTAAATGTAAAATAGAAGAGTGTAGAGGAGTGTCTTCTACTTGCTAAAACTAATCCTAGCACAGTAGACAGGAATGATCATAGCACAGGGTGGAAAAAACCTAGTGGGGAAAAAACCCGTTGAATACTGTGGAGAAAAAAAAATTGCAGCAGGAAAGTTTATCAATTTACTGCTCCATGTTTTAGGTGTATACTGCCACTAACCAGATTTCCCAAACAATCTCTGCATGTGTGTATTTGGACTGTGGGGATTAGTCATTTAGTCAATTAATGATGGTAATAAATTGATCAGTTGATGATGGTATAACAACACACTGGTGTATTTTGTGTCTTTGAAGGCTTTAATATTTCACCTCGAATGGGACAACAGTGCATTGCATGGTGCCAATCCACCTACTTGCAGGTTTTTGGGAAGTGGGAGAAAACCAGATAACCTGGAGGAAACCCACATGGACACGGGTAAAACATGCAGAACTCCACACAGACAGGAACTCAAGCTTAGGATTGAACCGGGGACACTGGAGCTGTGATGTAGCAACGCTGCCTGCTGCACCACCATTGCACCATTCCTGATATTATTTTATTTTAATAGCAGATGGGCATGAAGAAATTATTTGTGAAGACCAGTGTTATGTAGTGAATGTGGATTTAACATTAGGTAAAACTACAGATGATCTGCACCGCAACATTGATATTAATGAACAAACACACAGACACACATATTCATAAAAGCGAAGCATAATACCAGACATAAGAGACGGACTCTGGAATATGGAATTAGTTAAATTGCTGTAAAAATGGCTAAACTGCTGTTTATAATCACACTACTATAGCTTTGAATAAAGCACCAACTGTTTCTTTCTATGTAACTTAATGTAGACCCTTGATTGGTGAGACGGCTCTATTTGTGGCTGGCACCAGTGCCATAAACAAATCAAACAAATGCAGAATATCACAAAAGCCTGCTGTGTTAAATTTTGGAAGTGAGCATAATGACCAAAGGGCAGCTATTCAGATCAAATCAAACCTTAATCTGTGTCTGGAAAAACAGGCACAATAGAGACAATATGCTCCACCTGGTCATAGTCAAGCCATAAAGAACTGAAATATTCTGATTTCATGGTGTTTCTACACCATGGTGTGAGCACAAAAAAAAAAAGTCTGAGCAAAATTTCTTCACTTCATCACACACAACAGAATCAGATAAAAATACATGTACTATTACTAATAAAAAATACATTTACAACTTTCATGTACAATTTTCTAAATTTACTGAAATATAAGTAAAAATAGCCCTCTAAAATTAAATCTTTATGACTAATGGTTATCACCTGATAAAATTGAGGATAAGTAAGGATAAGGATAAGATGTAGCTGCTTATCAATAATGTTGCTTCATGCATTGCTGCAGTACAGAGGAGTTTCCCAATCACACAGCTGCTTTAGTCTGGATGGTCAGAGCACAGGGCCAGCCATGATACAGTATCCCTGGAGCACTTGACAGTTAAGGGGCCTTAACCAATGAGCCACCACTGCACTGGTCTTTTTTTTAATGAAAACTTTATGGTTTAATCATGTATTGAAAAAGCCAAATTTTTGGTTGGGAAAATTGTCCATAATTGTTAATAGGTGAATTATAATTCTATTCTTTATCATACCTATATTCGTGCTTCAAAAACAGTCACAAATTGGCAATGAACTTTACCTTTATGATCAACTTTGCAAAAAGTTTGTTTGCGTTGACAAATTTAATCAAATTTTCAGCTGTCAGTGTGTAACTAAGATATGGGGGTACTTTTCTGGCAAAGATTGAAAGCACAATAGTTTTAGTTTTGGAACTCAAAATCACCCTGCTCATATCGAAGGTATATAACCCTACTTGACCATCACACCCATATGTGTTCCTTCCGCAAACTGTTGCCACAAAATTGGAAGTACACAATTGTGTAGAATGTCTGTTGTATGCTGTAGCATTATAATTTCCCTCCACTGGAACTCAGGGTCCCAAACCAGTTCTAGGATGACAATTCCCCTGTGTACAAAGCGAGGTCTATGAAGACCGGTTTTTACCAAAGTTGGAGTGGTGTTGCCCGACATCACTGTCTGACCTCACTAATGGTCTGGTGGCTGAATGGGCAAAGCCCCACAGCACACTCCAAAATCTAGTGAGAAAGCCTTCCCAGAAGAGTGGAGGTTATTATAACAACAAAGGGGGACTAAATATGAGTGGGATGTTCACATATGGGAGAGATGGTCAGGTGTCCACAAACATTTTAATTAAGAAGCTTTTTAAGTGTTATTTCACTAACAATCCAAGACAGGGACTCCAAGCATGAGGGCAAGAAAAGGTGTAAAAGGAGCAAAGCAGGTGGAAAAAAAAAGATTTCTGCATATACACCTAACAAGCTTGAAATTTGTGTGAGCAGTATGATTTTAAGTGCGGTATACAATTTTGTGTGCGATCAAGGCAAATCCATGTGCAAGCAGTCTTCATTTGTACGAGAGTGAGTCAAAATATTTTTTGTATAAAAATCTAGTATGTACACTATTGCATATACATTTTCAAAGCCTAACTTGTAAAGTCTACCTGGGTGAATGAAAATATAGCCAACATAATAATGGTAATAATGACATTATTATTATTATTATTATCATCATATAAAATCAATCATAAGATAACAAGTGTTCATAACTTATTTTGCATCACTCTCAGATATTGCTTGGAAGCAATGCACTTTTAATAGCATGACATCTACTCAAGTACTGTACAGGTTCCACCAAGAGTTGAACTTAGATTGCTGAATTCAAAGTCCAGAGTGCTAACCATTACACCACAGAACCAGGACAGTTTAAAAGATTAGTTTCCACCCACATTAGCATATACACTGCCCTCCAAAAGTTTGGAAACGCCTGAACAAAATAGGGTTTTTGGGCAATATCAGCATAAATCCTCTTTAGTTAGTGACCATTTTGCATTGATAATAAGGGACAACACAAACTATGAAAACATATTTTATTAAATAAAAAGTTTATGAACATAAACATGAACATAACATAGAAAAATACTCAAA